TTTTTTTTTTTTTTTTTTTTTTTTTTTTTTTTTTTTTTTAAATACAGTGGTAAAAATGCTGCTACTACTACTAATTCTGGTGCAAAATGTATGCTTTTATTCTGGTGCTTTTTTATAGAACCAAAACTCAATACAAACCATGGAAATGTTTGTAAATTCCAATAGAAACAGTTTTAAAAAACATTCTTCTCTAGTACTTGACACTCCAAAGCAAAAGTGAAACTAATAAACTCTCTTGAAATTGAAAGAAATTCAAAATGTAAACAAACAGCATACATAGTGCAATGGATTCTGTGAAGGTAGAATTGATATATTTTAAACATTAGGAACTCACTTTTGCAATATTTAGCCAAAATTAGGCACCTAAATATGGATCTGTTTGGTGGTTATTAATGTAAAGAACTTAAAAACATTATTATGCTCTTTTTCATCCTTTGCTCTGTCAGGGTGGATAATGGAAAATTGGTTAGTCAATTTCATTTTGTTCATAATCAGGTTCATTATTAGGTTCCCAGTGTTCTGTCTGCAATCATTGTAGGATATTGTTTTGTAAATACAAGTGAAAAACTACTTTGAACAAATAATGGGAATATTTTTACTTTGGAAAATTTCTATTTTTAGTCTTTATTAAACCTTGTTTTTTTTTTTTTTTAAAAGAAACTCTAAATATTTATCTAAGGAGTTAGTAATGTAGTTACCATCTTTTCTCCCCCAGAAACATGACCTCAATCTGGCCAAATCACACTTTAGTAACTTTATGCTCATGAATAGTCCCACTAAGTGTAATGGAACTACACACGTGTGTAAGTGTTTTCAAGAATGGGGCCTAGTACTTTCAAATCTGACTATATCCTTTAAAAATGATTAAGATACTTGGAATTAGCCACTGACAGTGAAGAGGTGACAGAGCTTCTGTAGAACCAGAAGCATCTTGCAAAAATCCTGCTGTCTAAATAATAAAAAATCTTGTTTGCATAAAATGGCTAGAGTTCATATCTCTGGAAATGATAACCTTAATTTTATTCAGTGGATAAATTTATTGCATATTCTACTGTGATACTGTCAATATGCTGAAGTGTAATCAACAGGGCTGTCTTTTTAACAAGAGAAAGCTATCCATGTTAGGTTTACGTTGGGTGACTCCTTGCCAAAAGGGATGGTAAGGAGATCAAATAACTAGTGGTGCTTTCAGTAGTTAGGAGGCTAAAATGCATACTTTATTTTATTTCAATTTAACTAATAAAAAGATGCCTATACAAAGCACTCTAGGCAACTTAGCACATAATTAATTAATACACCTCTACCCCGCTATAACGTGACCTGATATAACATGGGTTCGCATATAGCGCGGTAGCAGCAGGGCTCCAGCGGCGCTTTTAAGGGGTCTGGGGCTCTGGCTGCTGTGGGGAGCCCTGGGCTCTTTAAATCACTGCCGGAGCCCTGCAGCCACTACCCTGGAGCTGTGGCAGCGGGGCTCTGCTGGCGATTTAAAGGGTCTGGGGCTCCCCGCAGCCAGAGCCCCGGACCCTTTAAATCACCGTTGGAGCCCTCCTGCCCCTACCCGGATATAACGGCGTTTCACCTATAACGCGGTAGGGATTTTTGGCTCCCCATGACCACGTTATATCATGGTAGAGGTGTACTACAATAAAACCCCAGCAGCATTAAAATAATCATTTCAAAAAAGGGAGTTCAGCCAGCTAACCTACACATTTTTTCCCCACCCTGTCATAAAAATACAGCTAAGGGTAGCATAAAATCCCTCCTTCACCTGTAAGGGGTTAAGAAGCTCAAACAACCTGGTTGGCACCTGACCAAAAGGACCAATAAGGAAAGAAGATACTTTCAAATGGGGGGGGGGGGGTTGTTTGTGCTCTCTCGGGACAGAGAGAGGGACCAGGCAGGGAAAAAACCTCTCCTAAAACCCTACCCGAAATAAGCATCTAAGATTACAAAAATTGTAAGTAAAGCAAGGTAAATAGCAGACCGTGTTGTAATGTGATTGCTGAGCAGCAGCTGGGGTCTAGAATAACTCCTAGACTGAATCCTAGTAACTAATGGCAGAGGTACTCCTTCAGTCAAAGGGACTGATATTCCCTCCACTCTCTCCTCCTCCCTGCTTTCCCCAACCCACCATCATTGCTTCAACCAGCTCACTCTCATGCATGCCACAATCTCAACTAGACCATAGTTAAGGTGCTGAACTGCATTGTCTGAGTTGGACGAGATAGAGATACAGTTAGATATCATCAGCACACTAACAACAAGGAGTCCAGTGGCACCTTAAAAACTAACAGATTTATTTGGGCATAAGCTTTCGTGGGTAAAAAACCTCACTTCTTCAGATGCATGGAGTGAAAAACTGAAAACACTGCATCCATCCCTTTTTACTAATCCTCCTACCTGTCCTATACACACTCTGAACAGAGACCCTGAATACTTTCTTTAAACTCTCTTACAAGAGCAAACAAGAATAGCCTCCAGAATACTTACAGAAAATAATTTTAGTAGTATCTTTGGGTGTAGTCTCT